TGTGAGCACTCCTCCGTAGATTGGAGGGCTGCCTGGGTGTGTTTCAGACCGAGACATACCACACAGGATGGGTGGGTGTCCCAGCTTGAAATTTTATTGCCACACGGACAGGTTCGTCCTTTGGGGCTCCCCTCCGCTTTCGCAGAGGATTTAGCAGTCTCCATTATTTTATTTTTATTTTGGAGATTGGCTTTGGGGCTACACGGGAATTAGCTTGTGAAGGCTAAGCTAACCAGGTGTGGCTAGGTTGGGGACGGCGTTTCGGCCACCCGGGGTGTAGCTACGGAGTATTGCTACTCAGTGTCGACCAACGTACAGCCGTGAGGCGGTGCGTTGACTCGAGTATTACTACTCGTTTTATGGTATTTCTACCAGGAAAACGTCTCCGCTTGATACCGAACCAGTTCGGAGCAAAGCGCCCAGCGACCGAGCTTGCGCGCGAGTCTTTGGACTGTTAAGCTAGGCTCCAAGAGAGACGGTATCCAAGAGGAAGCTAATTGGGAACTTCTGCTCGTTGCGAGAAGAGGTTTTTGAATAACAAGCAGCACAGTGTCAGCCCTATTTATAGGGGGAGGGACCTTGCCCTCTCTGACACTGACAGGCTTATTTTCCAGCCAATTCTGGCTGGCGTAATGTAAAAGGAGCTTCTGATGAGGTCACGCTGGAGGCGTTCCCAATGTGAGACACGAAACGAATGCTATGAAAGAGAACCTTGTTCAGTTAAAGCTACAGTGTGTAATTTTTAGCGACAACGTCCAGACTGCAGACCGCAGCAACATGAACATCTCCCCCCCACCGCTTCTCCCCCCCAACAGTACGGCGAGCGTTACGGGACAAAATGTCTTCCACGACGTCCGCATCACCTACCTTCTCAAGTGATGAGGTTTGTTTACATAGATAATTTTACAGATAGTATTTCATTAGTCTGTGTGTTCAGTACCGTCTCAGTTCATCTCTCTCAACTTGCCGTAGTTACTTTCGAGCGTAATGGGCGATCTCGCAATCGCTAGTTTGTTGGCTCTGCGCTGCCGTAGCGCAAAGATGTCTGCCTCCATGGCTGCGAGACCCGCTCATATGTAATTATAAATAACGAATTCTAAGGCAACGCAAATATTAAGGTTAAGAGGCTGAGCTCGTAGATGATGATAAATAACATAGTTACCGGTATGTATAATATATTACATTTCTGACTGTATATCCCTGTAATTATTACACACTGTAGCTTTAAAAAAATCTTCCTGTACACTAATGTATTTATTATGATTTAAATAATTACAAACCCTTTAAATAAACAATTGTTCTATGAATTCTTACCAGTTATAATTTTTTTATGAGAAACACCAGTCTTTAGGAGGTGGAATTCATTACAATGCAGTTTATATGGATTTAATTCCTAAAAATGCAAAAATATCTACAATTATCAAGAAATTTACTGTTGCTATTATAAAATGTAGCTAGATGTTCTCATAAGAATAAAATCCTTTCACCATAACTTAATAAAAACAGAAAAAAAATGTTTTTTTTTACTTTCAGTATTTAGAAAAAACGTTCATATCTTAACTCTACATAAGTTCTAATATTTAGAAGTTTCATTATACGACATGTGCCTAAAGACACTTTAAAAATTAGTGCCAGGTTTGTATTTAGGGGACAGGACAGAATTCAACAAGGACCCGATAGATTATTCATCCTAAAGATGTTTATATATACTTTAGCTAACAGGTATCTCAAATAAAAGTTATTTTACCAGTTGGAACAATTGTCAATTCTGTTTCTCCGTTTCAGAAGCCTTTGTGCCTGAATATTTCATATAATACTACTACCGTACTAATACTTAAATCGCCTAAACCATATAAAAGTTCTGGGAATTGGACAAAAAAAAAAAAAAAAAAAAAGCAGCTGTAGTACAAAGAAAACTTTTTTTCATCTATAAACTGTCACTGGAAGATCTGGCTTGAATGTTCTGAATAACGAACATATCGGTATTTAAAATCAAGCCCTTACTTGTTGGAACCAAAGTCATAGGCTTCGCATGCTGCCGTCAGTCCGTCTTCATTGACTCCTCCAGCGACAATAAGCCTGCCCTTGTGGATAACTGCTCCAAACATGGATCTAGAAGTCTTCATTGAAGCGACCTCCTTCCACTCTGACCTCTTGTGGTTGTAGGCAAACATCTTATTTGTTGCTTTGCTTTAGTGAAGAAGACAAAACAGCACCATTGTTAGAGCTAATAAAAGTTTCATTTGCATGAAATGCATGCGTCTACACTAGGAGCTTACTTGTCATCAGTTTTTCCTCCTAGGCAGTACACCAAGCCGTTCATAGATACCACGCAGTGACCGTGGATTTTCACAGGTAACTTCTTTGTTTCTGTCCATTTCATTTTCCTGGAAGCAGAAGAAACACGACTTCTGTAAGGACAAACTATTCTAAGTAAACCTCCATTCAAATGTTTAAAATGTGAAACCTACTCGGTATCATAGCACAAAACGGTGTCATGAGACTCATTGGACTGTAAATCTTTTCCTGCCACTGCGAATATTAGGTTTTCAAATTCGCCCATTGCGAAGAGACACCTAGGGGAAGGCATCGGTGGCAGAGCTTGCCATTCGGCAGCAAGGCTGTCCAGCTGAAAAGTAAAGACACGTTTTAAAAACTGAGCACTGTTTGAATTGAGCAACGCTTCCCTACCTGGTAGAAGTAGCACTGCAGTGGGTTTTCTTTATCCTCCTCATCTACAAACAATCCTCCCAGCACATACAGCTTGTTCTTCTTCGATGTGAGGCTGACGTGGTTTCGGGGAATTCGCTCAGACATTGCTGCCAGAAAACATTCATTCTCTTGGCCGTCGTAAGCCACGGCGGCAGTGTCATTAATCATGACGATCACATCTTTGGCGTACATGCCGTATCTGCGGTTGTTGTTCAGGTAACCTGGCAGCGTCTCCTCCTCTCCCTCAGCATCACCTGAGCCCTTGTTCTTCTCTGGCAGCTTGCCTGTGAATGCTTCCTTTATGACTTTGATCTTTTTGAGGAGCTCTGGATCAGCCTTGATGAGCTCATCTTTCTCCACTTTTTCTTTGAAGTATTTTTCTGGAATAAGACAGAAGCGAATGTAGTCAAAAGCCTCCTCCAAGGATTTTGCTCGTTTTTCTTTATCTTTCCTGATCCACCTCATGAGAGCCTCAAACACAGACTCTTCTTTCTCAACATTTAACCTATCAGCTCCGATGATGGCGAAGAGCTCAGGTGGGGCGAGCTCTAGGAAATCATCATCTTTGACAACGGTCTCAAAGCGATCGGCGATGTAATCTCTGGCTGCCATGGCCAGCCTGGCACAGTTCAGCATCAGCCCCAGCCTGTAGATGGCGAGGCAGCTCTTCTCTGTGATACTCTTTTGTAGATAATTCACACAAACCGTGAACGCCGAGGGGATCTGGAACCGATTTGCAATGGCCAAGATGTCCTGAACGTTGCTGTCAGTGATGTCAATCTCAGCAGAGTACAGATAATTCACAATCAGCTCCATAAGGTTAGGATCAAGGTTCTCCAAGACAACCTCCTTCCTGTCCACCTCCTGTCCATCCACAGAGAAGAAAAGCTCCCGGAAATATGGGCTGCATGCTGCTAGAATGAGCCGGTGGCTGGGGATGCTTCTGTCTCCAACCTTTAGGACACAGTCAATCAGCTTATTCTCATTCAAGAGCTCTTTGAGTCCATCTTGTAACAGAGTGCTCTGAAACAGACGAAGATCCTCTCTCAGACCTTGGGCGTCCATTCTCTTCTGTGGACAGAAGGCAGCACACTACAGGCACACAGATCTGTAGCTGCTTCAATATAACCATGCCCTGCTAAATATAGCCCACCACCCTAACCAGGAAGAATTCAGGTTGGCCAAAGTGGAGCTCTCACCCAGCTGTCACAAAGGCCAAACAACTGTGGAGCCTTGTCACTCCTATATTGTTGTACAGCCACACAAAAATAACACAATCCTTATGCTTTATTCCAACTTTGGCTCTCTTTCTGAAAGGAATATTTGATTCTAATCTTTTATATCACCTTAACTCATGTGATGACATCTACTGTTTATACCACGATGAAAAATCTATATGTTGACTCACGGTTTATTGATAGCAGTGACAGCCCAGTCTGTGAGATTCAGTTTTTATGCTGTGAGACATTCAAACGCCCCCTAACCAGCAGCCAGGTAGCTTATCCTCCATTGTTTAAATATTACTACATCTTTTTAATTAGACTATGACACCTCAACATAAAGAACTATGAAGTATGTTGATGTTTTATCAATCAATGAGAAAAGAACAGACTTTATTTATATAGATTTTATTCTCAATAGACTTTTACATCCTATAAGCAAATACCTCTATTGTTTACGTGACTATGAGAGATATTGCTGTCAGAGACTGCAAGGAAGGGAGGGAGGAAGGACACAAAGGAAGGAAGGACATAAAGAAGTAAACAAAGCAGAAAGGAAGGTAGGACACAAGGAAGAAAGAAAAATGGTGTAAAGACAAAAGGAGGCAGGTAAACAGAAAATGAAGTAGAAAGAAAGAACACCAATAAGGAAAGGACAGAAAATACATAAAAAAAGACCCAAAGAAAGAATAAATGAAAGATGGAAAGGTATAGGACACAAAGAGGGAAACAGAGAAGGAAAGACAAGAATGATACGAGGAAGAAGTTCCACTTTTCTCAGGCTGTGTAGATACCCTGTTCTTACTGCATTAAAAACAGTTAATAAAAGTTACCCTTTTTCATAAAAAAGGAAATTTAGTATATTTTCTATAAACAAAGCATTGGGGTGTGCTTTGGTGATGCTGTGGTTATTGCACACGACCCATGTATGGAAGCCTTTGTCCTCGACGCGGGCAACCCGGGTTCGGATCCAGCCTGTGGTCCTTTCCCACATGTCCCTCCCCCTCTCTCATTACCCTTTCCTGTCGGCCTACTCTACATGAAACGGTCCACTAGTGCCGTAAAAAAAAAACAAAAAAAAACACAAAGCATTTGTAGATAAGGTGTAACCTTAATCTTAGCCTATTAGTAATAAATAAACGCCCTCTTGTCTGTCCATAGAGCAAACTGATGTTTGATGTTTTTTCAGCCCACCACTTCCCACAGCCCCTGGAGGGTAAAGCCATCCTTAAGCCTCTCAATGGCGAGGCCAAGCTCATCAGAAAAAACTGCTTCACGGTCTTGTTGCTGTGGCATAAAAACAAAGATATTAGGTTCTCACTCTATGTTCAGCTGGCTAAAAACTTAAGTTTACTTAAGTAGTTTATTTACCTTATTACCATCAGCAAAGTAGGCCTGGAACCAAAAAAACACAGGTAATTAACATTAATTATTGCTCTGAGTGGGATATTCTGGTTGTTAAGGTAGGTAATTGGGGCTGAAGGCAACACAGACAGACGCACTAAGCAACACAAACTCTTGTTGGGTTTGTCATCCTGGGAAATATTAGCTGGTAGTTATTCTGAGAGTCTGACAAGCTTTAGACTCCCAGAGGAGGGAGAGTGTAGCGGAGGCCGGCGAGCTCACTCACAGTAAAAGCATCAGTCTGTTCATCAGGCTCGATTTCCACATCATCAGGGGGCTGTTCCACTGTCAGTTCTTCCAGTGGCTGTGGCTGAAAACCAGAAAAAGGGCAGCTAGAGTACTTTGTCGACCTCTTAACATCTTTTCAACTTGTCACATTTTGTCACATAACCACACACTTGTATCTGTTTTATTGAAATTATTAGACAAGCATAGTGTTTAGATTTATTTCCTGACTGTGACAGGGACATTTTAACACAAACCTCTGCCCAGATATCGAGTATTTTACAGCCCTGAACATATGTTCCATCCCAATTGATCCTGAATTTACTTCTGCTTACCAATTCTGACCAGCGTAGTAGTGAAAAATTAAACATCCTCAAAACACGATGGAGCCACAACCATGCTTCGTATAGTGATGTTGTTTTAAGGGGGATGTTCAGTATTGTTTTTTTCTTCACTGTTTCTTTGCATGTGGGAAAAATTCAATTTTGGGTCTCATGCCAAGGGAAATTCCCTGAATCTGTTTTTTTGCTCCCCTGCAGGACTTCCTATTACTATCTTTTTTATACTGTTCCATTAAAAAAGAAATGTAGAGTGCATTACTAATAATTATCAAATTAAATAATTATAGATCTTCCAAAGCAACTATGAGGGTCTTTTTCTTGGCCAGCCAATTTAGATGGGTGGCAATTATGAAATGATGGATTTAACTGTACTCTATGAAACAATCAAAGATCGGAATGCTGTTTTATAACCTAACTTTGGTATAAATGTATCCACGCCTTTATCTTTGACCCGTCTGTTGTGTCCCATAGAATAGAATAAAATAGAATGGAATAGAATAGAAAATCCCTTTATTGTCCCACAATGGGGAAATTCTGGAAAAAAAATGGTTAACCAAATTTGGACCTTAGAAAGGTGTATAAGAATAACATAATAGTGAAGACTTAAAAAAATAAAAAATAAAATACTGTACTGTAAAGTGTTTTAAAAATGTAAATACTGTGCATCTGAAGAACAAATAATCACTATACAGCTATGGACATTTTTGTAAATATATATTAATGCTCTTAACTTCCATATCAATGTGTTTTTCTGCAAGTTTATTTCTCCCACACTGTTTACATTTGATCGCTGCTGCACTTTAAGAAATGGAAATGTCATGAGAGCTGTACAAAACAAAATTTTGTTTTGTATAAACAGAGTGTATACAAAACGACAATAAAAGTTGTCTATGTCTTTACAGTAATGGATATTTGAAAATAGCAGCTACATCAGAGATGTGCAAAATGACACCAGCATGTTATTTAACTGACTAAGGTAGAAACTGTGCAAAATCAGCATGAATGTACCAACTTATTGAGGTTGTTAGGAACAGTGGTGGTTATAGAGTCTTACAGCTGCAAGTCCTCATGATGTTGTTTGTTTACGTTTTTTTTCAATGAACATTTTGGCTTTAAAAGACAAACGGCTATTTCCGGCAATTTACATTAAAAATGAGACTCCAATTACTGATTGAATATCTTCTGATAGTAAATGAATACATAATTCAAGTGGCACTTATGGGATTTTAATTAACAATAGCATTTTAATAATCATTCCATTCTGTTCACTTAAAATAAAAGTAAAATATATGCTAGAATGCAACTGTAACATTACAAGACATTGAAAAGTGCACTCTAATAACTCTAAAAATATAGAGAACTTAAAGGGGAGTGGAGTAGTTTTGAATACTTTTCAATCATGGTTCAGGTGTTGGTCTAATTAAAAGTAATGTTTAACACTTTCAATCCTTGCTTACCTTTTCCTCCATCTCATAATCCACTCCAAAGATGGGGTTTGCAGAGTAAACTTTATGCAAAGAGTTGATTTCTTTGAGAGCATCTTGAAGCTTCTCCACTGGATCAATTTTGAACCCAAGCACATATCCTCCACTCTAACACAACAAGACCGCTGTCATTAGTGCATCATAAAGCATGAAGAGGAAAACCTTTATGATGGGAAAGCATAAAGAAGTCACCTGTCGTGAACTTTCAATCACCAAAGCCAGGCCAAACTTTGAGTCTCTTATTCTGATTGACCACTTGGAGAGGAGAGAAATTGGTTAGTCAATAAAATAAACAGGTCCACACTATGTGTGGATTAAAACACAACAATGGAACACAGGCACTTTAAAAAGACTGTAATAAACTAAGATTACAAAGAAAAAAATCCATGAATATACATGAATATGAACCGATGGGTTTAAGAAGGGTAAAACCCTCACAGGGGTAAACCTACAATCTGGAGGTAAGGTATGCTGACGTTGAAGCTTTCGTTCATATTGGCATGCCACACTATCCGAACATTGGTAATAAAGAAGGTCCCCAGGTTACCCTACAAAAGAAAAGCATGTTACACAAAATCCTTCACTTTAAACTTAAAAGCCTGGATACACAAAAATTCGAGTTTGTCCTTTTAACAAAGGGAGATCCTGTTTTGTTTATGCATGCCTATGTTCAAGAGATTTGTCAAAAAGTCATATATTTTAAAAACCATGTCAGTGAAAAACTTTCTGGACAAAAGCAGTACCTGATCACTGGATAGATTCCAAACTCCATTGATTTTATCGTACACTTGCTCCCGAGGCAAGAGTCTGAGCTGCTTGTTTTGAATGAGAGCAGCTCGTAGCTTCAGGTCCCGGTACATCTTAGAGGTCTCATAAGCCCTGAACAAAACAGAATTCATAACATTAACCCTCCAGCTCTATATATCAAATAGAACCCTCCCTCGGTGTTTTTCTTTTACCTGTGTACAGCAATCACAGAGGTAAAGAGCCTTGGACTTCCGATAACCAGATTGGTAAAAATGAATTCAAATCTTGTGTTGTTGGACTTTGTTAAGATGTAGAGAGCTTCAGTATGTCCTCTCAGTTTCTAAAAAAAAAAGTAAAAAAAAAAATAATTAAATAAATAAAAAAAATACTGAATAGGAAAATAAGGGGTAATATCTTTATGACAATCCTTGAGCTATATGAATGAAAATTTAAGGAAGTAAACAACAGAGTTACTCACAGAGTGTGCAGTCCTTGTTGTGATGTTAATAATGGTGCTGTAACCCACGGCTTTGCATACAAATAACAGAAACGTGACATATTATATTTTACGAGAGATAGTACATATAACTTTACGACACACACACATTCAGACTAATGATCCACTCAGGGCTCCTAACTCTCACCCCTTGGGAGAGAGACTCACCCATCTCAGTGTCTTTACACACTCACCCCATATTCCCAATTTCTCACAATAAAAAATGACAGACATTAAAACTCAACACCGTTCCACTCATTTATGTATAAAAATACCATATGTGATCAAAATCCCTGCGTTTTTTATACAACCTTAGTGCTAACACACAAGGACATGCCAGGTTCATATCTAGTCCGTATTCACACCTATTCACTGTGCTAGATATTGAACAAAGACAGTTCTTATGAGGTATTTTATTTTAATTTTTATCTTATCTCATCTGCACTAGAATAATTCTCTTTGTAAATTATCGAAGATTTTAAGCAATCTAGCGCTTGAGTTCAGGTTTGCCTCTCAAACTCATAGAAGCTCCACAACAAGAAAAAAGAACCATTGCATTTTATTTTTCAAAAGATCAGCCACCAAAGAAAAGACCAACCACATACAGAGACGATGTGCAGAACAACTCAGTTATCCAGGATTTATAAAGGGAGAAACAGAGGGATGTTCTTCTTTTATTATTACTTATCTTATTAATTTATTCTTAATTTGGTCCATTGAATATGTTGACTTAATTTCCATCAGATTTTCCCAATGAAGCATCCAGAGAAGTGCTGTCTTGTGTCATGGTGAGTTTTTATAAAATCTACAGCCTCCTAGAAGGTCTGAATTGTTTAGCTGTTTTGTCAATTATAAGAAAAACTAATAATATAATGAATTAAGCTTTTTAATCCTTAGCCTATTACCAAATATTCATACAGTGTAGTTTACATAGATTTTAATTGCACTGGTTCTTGTATTAGTGTCAGTAGCCTAATCCAGTGATAACTTAATAGTTTCCCATTGTTTATTTTACTTAAACTACATAGAATAATTAATGAACAAAGTTGTGAAATTCTTAGTTTACAGTATATTTAAGATGCAATTATTTCAGTAAGGCCAATACTTCTTTACTTCAATTCTCTAAAAATGACCAGAATATAGAAAATAATGGATATTGTGAGAAAAATGTTCCACATAGCGACAGATTACTCAGTAACATTTACTGTGAAATTAAAATATCCCACACTTTGCTTCAGTTAAATCCTCTAAAAAACCTCCAAATTATAGCTGCACCTGTCCTCAGAGCCTTTTGATCGAATCCTGTCAAAACTATTTCAAAATCTCACCGCAAGGTTTGGTGAAAAGTTGGCAGCCCTGTCCACTATTTAGATATATTAAATTATACTCACACAAGTTGACTCTAGGCAGAGCCAACGAGTGCCAAATTATTCTCAGGTTTGTCACCAAGAGTCGTCCTAAAAAAATAAAATAAAATAAAGAAAACACTATTATTTAAATGTTAGTAAAATCATCAGCTACGCTCTAATGAAACATCACCTCGATCTCCGTTATTTCCTTTGGTGTCTTCAATTGAATCCAGACAATCGATTAACACTTCTCCTGGGCGGGTTTTCATCTGTCTGTGCACAAGAAGGATTATCCAACAAACTATTAATGTCACACACTCATTAAACAGATAATTCCGACATAATTCTAGCAGAAAAAAAATTGAATTAGGTTGTCAAAGGACGATGGAAGGTATTGTGTAGCATTTGGTTAGCCACTTAGCTAACTAATCTATCTGAGTGAGCTTGCTAGCAATGCTGCGGTTAATAACCCAGAATAAACTCACTGCGCAGTGATGTCGAATCTAACGTCTCTGTCTTCCCAGAGAGTATCTAAAGCAGCCATGGCCTTTAATTCAAAATTCACTGTATTTTACCAGCGAAACAGTCAAAAGACAAACAGCTAAAGCTAATCTGAATTTATCCTGCTCAGGGTCATAATCTCCATGACAACGGACGGAAAGCGTAAAGGACAATTCCTGTTCTTCCTCCTCTTCTTCTTCTTCTATGGTGTTTTATTGCAGTTTATAGACTACAGTGTTATTACCGCCATCAATTGGATGGACATGTAATTCAGAAAAACATCTCCTATATAGCTTCAAATATACACTATATTGCCAAAAGTATTTGCTCACCCATCCAAATTATTGGAATCAGGTGTTCCAATCACTTCCATGGCCACAGGTGTATAAATTCAAGCACCTAGGCATGCAGACTGTTTTTACAAACATTTGTGAAAGAATGGGTCGCTCTCAGGAGCTCAGTGAATTCCAGCGTGGAACTGTGATAGGATGCCACCTGTGCAACAAATCCAGTCGTGAAATTTCCTCGCTCCTAAATATTCCACAGTCAACTGTCAGCTGTATTATAAGAAAATGGAAGTGTTTGGGAACGACAGCAACTCAGCCACGAAGTGGTAGGCCACGTAAACTGACGGAGCGGGGTCAGCGGATGCTGACGCGCATAGTGCGAAGAGGTCGCCAACTTTCTGCAGAGTCAATCACTACAGACCTCCAAACTTCATGTGGCCTTCAGATTAGCTCAAGAACAGTGCGCAGAGAGCTTCATGGAATGGGTTTCCATGGTCGAGCAGCTGCATCCAAGCCATACATCACCAAGTGCAATGCAAAGCGTCGGATGCGGTGGTGTAAAGCACGCCGCCACTGGACTCTAGAGCAGTGGAGACGCGTTCTCTGGAGTGACGAATCGCGCTTCTCCATCTGGCAATCTGATGGACGGGTCTGGGTTTGGCGGTTGCCAGGAGAACGGTACTTGTCTGACTGCATTGTGCCAAGTGTAAAGTTTGGTTGAGGGGGGATTATGGTGTGGGGTTGTTTTTCAGGAGCTGGGCTTGGCCCCTTAGTTCCAGTGAAAGGAACTCTGAATGCTTCAGCATACCAAGACATTTTGGACAATTCCATGCTCCCAACTTTGTGGGAACAGTTTGGAGCTGGCCCCTTCCTCTTCCAACATGACTGTGCACCAGTGCACAAAGCAAGGTCCATAAAGACATGGATGACAGAGTCTGGTGTGGATGAACTTGACTGGCCTGCACAGAGTCCTGACCTCAACCCGATAGAACACCTTTGGGATGAATTAGAGCGGAGACTGAGAGCCAGGCCTTCTCGTCCAACATCAGTGTGCGACCTCACAAATGCGCTTCTGGAAGAATGGTCAAAAATTCCCATAAACACACTCCTAAACCTTGTGGACAGCCTTCCCAGAAGAGTTGAAGCTGTTCTAGCTGCAAAGGGTGGACCGACGTCATATTGAACCCTATGGATTAGGAACGGGATGTCACTTAAGCTCATATGTGAGTCAAGGCAGGTGAGCAAATACTTTTGGCAATATAGTGTATATATATAAAAAAACTAAATTAAATACATACTAATGCACTCACACACACACAAATACTAAATCCTCTCATCTAATGTTGTGTCTATTAAATACTTAATAAGTGCTTTAACTTTATCATGTAAATGATGCTTCCCTAATAAATTAACCATATTTACTGAACTACCCATTACCCTTTCCAGTTCTTTCCTCTCTTTTATATATTTTCTACAATAAATTAACACATGTTCTAATCCATCTGTTGTCCCACAATAAGAACAATCAACTGATGGATGATTCCCAATAATTTTTAAACCACTATTTAAACTAGTATGCCCAATCCTCAACCTGTTTATCCATACTTCCTCTCTGCTATTCATTATACTATGATTTCTTATGAATGCCTCCTTCTGTATTTTATGTGAATGCCTTCCTCTTTCTTCTAAATTTCATCTCTCCTGCCATATATTATTTATTTTATCTTTAATAAAAAGGACAATTCCTTCTTCTTCTTTTCTATTATGGTGGATCGCAAGCAACTTTAAGGTGCATACCGTCACCTACTGTACATGAGTGTGTAGCAACATTACCTTACAACAAATTCTATTTTTTAATTTTGTATTCTGTAGATGAATAAATAATGCTTTCCTTAATCTGTGAATATCCTTTATATTTCATTTATTTCCCAATAATCCTTTAAGACACCATTCTTGCCCTGTCCTTCCAATCATCCTCAATTTCTCCCTCTTATGTTCATAAGTTTTACAGTTCATCAGTACATGTTCCACATTTTCTTTTTCTCCACATTCTTCACATTTAAAGGACAATGCCTCTCCAATTCGCATTGCTAAAAAGAACAGGGGTGGATATAAACTGGTTAAATACACACATACTCACATACACACTTACTATAATTCTAATATTTCAGGATAAAATACCCAATTCAGTCAAACTTTATGTTTGAAAACTTTTCATTTGGCCAAACGTAAAATATTGAGAGGATGGAGAGAAAACCAGACAGAGTTTTAAATGGGAAGTTAAAATGCAAAGTATTTTATTCTAAATCTGATCCTTTTAAAACATATACAAAAAACAACAAACAACAACATAATCCCAACCCTTCCGTGAAGTCTTATCTCTTAAACAACAACTGTATGCTTTGTAGTTCTGGCATAGGATGTAGAAATGTGTCCTGTAACTGAGGGATTTCCGGTTCAAATCCCAGGTCAGTTGGCAAGACACCTAACCTGCAATGGTAGTGTAGATGATGTCCAGAGGTTCACAGGCACCGCCAGGTGTAGCAGGGCCTGTTTATGGCAGCCTTGCTTCTGTCAGTGATGTTACAAAGTACCAGCAGCATGGGGTTATATACCTCTGTTATGTAGATGATACTCAACAATTTTTAGCCATAAATCTGTGTTAGCCCCTCCGCTGATAGTGTGTGCTTTTTGAAAATGTAAATTAGTATTAGATTAATTCAACCCTGATAACTGTTGCATTTCAACTATTAGGAGCATTATTCCAATTCTGTCATAGTATTACCTGTTTAACACAGTGTTATTTTAATTTGATCTAGTTATACTAAGATAGACACCAATAGAGGAGCTGAATTTAACTTGCTAGGAGTTCAGTTAGCTCTAAGCTTTTAACGAGGTCATCTAATGTAGATACTGTCCCATCTGTGTTGTTCAAGTTTTTAACATGAGTTCTTCTTTGCCCTGTATGGTGTCCATCTTTAAAAGAGTAACTTGTTAGTTTGCCATTAGGGTAATTTTTAAGCCAGGCCCCATCTAAGGTGATAAGAAGGACAACATTGCAAGTTTGCCTATTTTCACTAATTGAATAGATGTTTCATAAATTCTATTTGTGTACAAAATTCATGGACACAAAAAGGCGAGAAGGAAATAAAATCCTTAAACAACAAAAAAAAAGCATATCAAATAATCTGCTAGCAACATGAACATCTCCCCCCCACTACTTCTCTCCCCCAACAGTACGGAGAGCGTTACGGGACAAAATGTCTTCCACGACGTCCGCATCACCTACCTTCTCAAGTGATGAGGTTTGTTTACATAGATAATTTTACAGATAGTATTCTCTGGCATAATACTGCCATCTATTGTTCAGTACCGTCTCAGTTCATCTCTCTCAACTTGCCATAGTTACTTTCGACCGTAATGGGCGATCTCGCAATCGCTAGTTTGTTGGCTCTGCGCTGCCGTAGCGCAAAGATGTCTGCCTCCATGGCTGCGAGACCCGCTCCTATGTAATTCTAAATAACGAATTCTAAGGCAACGCAAATATTAAGGTTAAGAGGCTGAGCTCGTAGATGATGATAAATAACATAGTTATGTATAATATATTACATTTCTGACTGTATATCCCTGTAATTATTACACACTGTAGCTTTAAAGTAGATTAATTCTTATAGAAATAAGCAAATTGGATGCGAACTGTGTATCTAATAATTTTGCATGTACATCATGTATTTATTTAATGCATGTCTCACACTTATTACTTTATATCTCACAATTTTGGTTAGTTATCTTCTAAGCATGACTTTTTACCTCATAATTGTGACTATATCTTATAAATATGGCTTTATGGGTAATTCTATAGATAATCCCACTTTTGGGATGGCAAAATTTCTTGATGTTTTTTCTTTTTCTAACATTTAAACTTGAGTTCATTTTTGCATTCATTCACATTATTAACATTGACATTATTAACACACATAAATGAAAGCTCAGATTTCTTTTTTATATATATATTTTTTTACATAATTAAAGGCCACATGAACCAATTACCATAACATTTAAGATGTTTATAAAACTTTTTCTCTTAATCTTTTCAGCACATGTAATCACATTTTGACAGTTGCACGTAATCAGGGGAATGTTTCTTAACTAATCTATTAAAGTGTCTTAAAAGGTGAAGTGTATGTTCATTTATTTCTTTGCATTGCCGTGTATTTGTTACAACAATAAAAAATATTTTAAGGATCCATCATGACCTGTTTTAACTTAAGCAGTTACAACAAAGTATTCAATACATATATGTATTTTAGGATTAAACCCAAAAAATAAAATAATTTTTTTTCCCATAGGTAATATTTCTTTAAACCCTATGGACAGAAAAATGTATGTTTATATAGAATGAGGCCTATGTCTCATAATTATGAATTTATATCTCCTAAATAAGACTTATGTACTAATGTACGATATTACAGTGGGGCATATTTTACTTAAAAGTGACACTTATGGGCTTCCATAAGATAAAACAGAAGAAATGTGTTATGCAGACTATAAAAATGAACATTTTGGGTATGAAGCTTAAGTAGTGTGCAAACATTCTCTAGAGGGTGCCAATACTACTTCAAAATTTGTTTTCTGTCTGACTGTCTGTCTGTCTGTCTGTCAACATACAGTAGTTAGATTACAAGGATAAATACCCAAAAACCAAAACACAAATAATTCACAGATGATGAGTTTATTCACAAATGCCATTTATAAAACATGTATTAAATCCTCTGTCATTTTTAAATTTATTAGTTTAAAACATCACAGATAATATCTGTTTATATTTAAAAAATGTTTTAAAAAGTCTGCTTTGATCTTCATTAACCAGAAGGTTGCAGAT